CCCTGCCCTCCCTGCCCCTGCCCTGCCCTGCCCTGCCCTCCCCTGCCCTCCCTGCCCCTCCCCTGCCCTGCCCTGCCCCCCCAGCTGCAAATGCCCCTCATTCCGCAGAGGTGGATGCGGGGATGAGCTTCGGCTTGGCCTGCTGCGGTGCAGAGAGCTCTGGAATCTTCTCCCCGTGCTTGTACACGCTGACAGTGACGTCGATCTTCTCCCCTCCGTACTTGTTCTTGACGTTGATGCTGTACTTGCCCGAGTCCTCGGCGGTGACCCCGCTGATGGTGAGGCTGACGTACTTGGACTGCTCCACCTTCACCGCGAAGTGCTCGCTCAGCTCGATGTCCTTGTCGTTCTTGAACCAAACCACTTCCGGGTCGGGGTTTCCAAACACCGTGCAGGTCAGGTTCAAAGTCTGCAGAGGGGGTGTGACGGAGAAAGAGTCAGGAGGACGGCCGCACCCCGCATCGCCACACCGGCCCCGCCGCCTCTGCTCTCACCTTGCCCTCCATTATGGTCACCACGTCGGGTAAGCCGCCGATCACCTTGCCCCGGTCTGCAAAGGGAGAGAGCCAGGTTAAGGGAGCCCGGCACCATGACAGCAGGGAAGGAGCTCACACTCCGGGAGAGAGTTCACACCAGGGGAGAGAGCTCACACCCCCCGGGAGAGAGCTCACACCCCCGGAGAGCTCATACCTCCAGGAGAGAGCTCACACCTCCAGGAGAGAGCTCACACCTCCAGGAGAGAGTTCACACACCCAGGAGAGAGCTCACACCCCTGGGAGAGAGCTCACACCCCTGGGAGAGAGCTCACACCTCTGGGAGAGAGTTCACACCCCCGGGAGAGAGTTCACACCCCCAGGAGAGAGCTCACACCCCTGGGAGAGAGTTCACACCCCGGGGAAAGGATGCGGGCAGCAAAGACACAGACACTGAGGAGAAGCAGACCAGAGGCTGCGGGCAATCAGATAACAAGGAGGTGACGCAGTGCGGAGACAGCATGACATTGCAGAAAATACGATGACAGTCGGCTGAGGAAGGAGGCAGAGCCCGAGCCCGTGGCCCACGGCCCGAGCCCGAGGCCCGAGGCCTGACTTGGTCCGGAGGGAAGAGCTCAGCCTCTGGGAGCAACATCTTGCCAGGGTAGGTGGGGGCAGGAAGAGGAACAGGTGGAGACTGAGGCCAGGGGTCCCACTCAGACCAGGACAGGAAGGATGCTGGTTAGAGGCACAAAAGGACTTGTGCGGAATTTGGGTCCTGTCCCGTCTGTTGTCACGCAGGTATACTTACTCTTCTCGGCAAACGCGGCGGCCCTGGGAGGGACAGGGAGGGGAGGAGAGAGCAGAGAGAGTGCTGAGAAACGCAGCCACAGCTGCGTCCCTGAGCTCAAGAGCTGTTAGTGGCCATGGAGTCAGAAGGAAAGCCACTGGCTTCCCCAGGGCCTGAGAGCCATGTACTTCCTCCCGAATGCCTAACGCCTTCTCTAGAGTGCTTGCAACGCCTACAGCAACATAAACGGAGTAAGTCATTGTCACACTGCACTTTTTAGGGCGTGATGACAAGGGACGCAACAGCGCCCGGCACAGAGCCAGGCCATCTGTCCCCTCCTGACCGCCACAGGTCCCGTCTGTGGGCATGGAATCTGCCCGTGCATTTTTCCTACAACTTCCACTGTTCACTTTGAGATGGGAAATGCCGAGACCCACGGGAAGGCTGGCATCCACACTAGAGACTGAAGGCATCGTTGTCTGCCACAAGCTCACCAGATCGCATTGGAGACCTCAGGCGTATTTTGAATTGTTGGTTTCTGGTTAATCTGGCCAGTCAACAAAGACGTGCCACCGAACCTAGCCAGAGCCGGGAACTGTCCCCCGCCCGGGCTCCGAGACAGACAGATTTGAAATTCCCGAGCCCTTCTTTTAAGAAGCTGCTCTGTGCAACATATCACTGGGGTTGCAATCATTGCAGAAATGTATCATTTTAATCACTTAAGGTCCCAATCAACCTAGAAACTCGGTCTACAAATGCATTTCTAGTTTAGAAGAATATCTTCAATTGGATATTAGACTCCTTCTGACCCAGGAACAGCACATTACTAAGGTGATAACTAGATGACCCAGCGGGGGACCAGAGCAGACCGGCCCTATCTGACAGGGAGTAAGCAAGCATGCAGTCCTTACTTGAGTTGCTGGAATTCCGCAAATGCTTCATCAAAGGCTGGAAGAGAACATTTCAGAAGTTAGAAGCTGCTTCACCATGTTTAGCCACTGGGCAAGTCAATTAATAGAAAGCTGAGTATAACCAGGGGAACGCTCTGATCTTCAGGGTTTGATTTGTCTCCATTCTGTCACGTCACATGACCACTGACGCGGTGTACCGGGCGCTAATGTGGCAGGCCCTCCCACCTGGCACTGACCTGACGCGGCGCGTCAGAGGCTGACGCGGCACCCCTCGCTTACCCTGCCCAGACGCAGGGCGTCAGAGGCTGACGCGGCACCCCTCGCTTACCCTGCCCAGACGCAGGGCGTCAGAGGCCGACATGGCACCGCTCGCTTACCCTGCCCAGACGCAGGGCGTCAGAGGCTGACGCGGCACCCCTCGCTTACCCTGCCCAGACGTTGACGCGGCACCCCTCGCTTACCCTGCCCAGATGCTGACGCAGCACCCCTCGCTTACCCTGCCCAGACAGGTCCAGGGAACGCTGGTGGTTGTCCTTGCCATCGAAAATCTCGAAGGTGTACTTCCCCTTGTCCTTTTCCGAGGGCTCGCAGATCTGCAGCCACGCCATCTCCTCACTCCCTCCGACACGCATGTGCTCACTCGAGGAGATCTTGGCATCTCTTTGAGAAAACCGCAAGGACACACTGGGTTCTGCTTCCAGGCCCCTCACAGACCCCGCGCTGACACCAAAGCCTCAGCAGATGTGTCTGACTCCCACAAATTTACTAAGCACACCTTGCCATCCTAAAGTGATACTTGGTCTGAAGATGCATTAACTATTTCACGTACTAGTTACCCCCACATGCTGAACTTCAAATATCCCTTGCACATAGTACAGAAGTCCAAGACTATGACACAACGCAGCAATCCCGGTTGAGTAAATGTTCAAAGACCAAATGAACACCCACCCTAGCTGCACTCTACAGCGGCCTAGGCGGAAAGGCCCGCGCAGCCACAGACAGATAAATGGATGAGTACACTCTGTGATGGAATATTACTCAGTCCTGAAAAGAACGTCTTATCCAGCATACATCCACAGTACGCTGGATTGAAAGCCAAATCTTCAGCATGCTGTGGCCTCGTGGTCTGACTTTACTTGGGCTTGGGCGGTCCCTGCCGCAGAAGCTCTGCTCGGGACCGTCTGAGCCTGGACCTGTGGAGGCCCTGCCCAGCACAGACTCAGCCCAGAACCGCGGAGCCGCGCGGAGGTGCGCGCAGACCCCAGTGGGCCGAGGTCCTCCTTTTGAGTCCAAGTTCATCGTGACAGGCTTGGTATGGCGAAATTTAAACAGGGGCCAAAACATGCCCAGGAACAGACACTCCACTGGAAGTACAATTCAGTCCCAAGCAGACTTATCTAAACAGAGTAACGCTTTGGAAATGGAACAGAACCGTAAATTCTCCAGCTGGCTAAAGACAGGGCTGTCAGGGCCTTGGCGTGGAGGCCAGGCGAACAGAAGGACAGGGCCTGCTCCCCCAGCCCCAGGCGGTCCCGTCCTGTGGACGCAGAGATCTGTAGATCTGGTCCTGCTTTGGTTCTGGCTGAGAGCCTGTAGCATTGATGGAAGAGTCACCCCTGGGTGAGGTCTTTATTAATTATCATTAACACTGCTTTATTGCTACTGGGCTGAGGGCCTTGTCTTTTTCCCCAAGCCTAGTGAAAAGCCAGTGACTAGAAATTTGGGTCTGGTTTATAAACAGTGGCCGCTCCTTTAGCATTCTGCTGGCTTCCAGACAAACTGGTTATGAGCAGGGCTAACTGTAACCAACCCGTGCCGGGAGCGCCTCCCCGTGAGCCCCCCCCCCC